TACCTTCCAAGGTAGAGTAAGTAAGCTAGAGAACATCAAGAGTATATGAATTCTGACTCTGGTTCCTGGAGGAAACCAACAGTAAAAGTAGACCTAAATATCTAGAGCACTACAAACAGAAAGAGAACAAAAGCAGCAGTCCACACTGAAATTCCAGTATGGAAAAGTCAACAGAAATGGAAAGAAAAAATAGGACTCTGAACATTAACTTCAGTTTCTTGTTCCATACAGATTATGCCTTCATATGCTAAACTATCAGCATTAAATTTAGTTTAAGAAGCTGGTATACAATGAGGCTTTGGAGTGAACTGTTAGCCTTCAGCCTCATGCTCTGTGCTATGTACGTTTTTTCATGTTCCATTGCTGGAGGAGAGGTGGGAAGATGACATGGAGTACAATCATGCACCACCATGTAAGAAAAGAGCCTTTTCAAAGAGCAAAATGAAATATACATTCTGTAACAGTATTATAGAGATTGCAGGAAACATTACTGTTGAACCATGCAGGCATTTAACAACTCCACTTCGTGGTACTGACTAGAGTCACAATGATTTCTGCAAAGGTTGCGTTGCTCTGAAGAGGCTTTTCATGTCCTTATCCTTGTGTTGGGAATGCAGTACAGAAGACATATGCAACTGTGTTCAGGCTGAGTACATATCCCACCTTACCCTCTAGAATGAAGCTTCAGTAACAAGCAGGAAGGGATCACTCCACCAGTGAAAGGCTCATCGGAGACCCAGCACTGGCCAAGCCAGGCAAAGTTCACCTGACTTACACATACTGCATTTGATAGCGTTTTTGACTTCTAGAAATACAACAGAAGAATGATATTCTGCCCTTTCAGTCTCAATACTAACAGTCTTTACCAGTTCTGTCAGTTTAATAGATTGCATCTAAGTCACACCCATTGGGAAAGACAAAATACAGTTAAAATCAGTCATCCTGGTTGTGGTCCACAAGGAGATCTTAAGTGGTCTGTGGCCCCTAAGAGTGGAATTTCTTGAAGAAAAGTAGTTAAATCAAACAGAAAATAATTGTTAAAAGTAAGAAAAGTGCTTGACCTACCTCTAAATATTTCTTTCCTTGATGGTATAGTTCCACAAGCTTGTTACATACATCACACCATTTCTGCTTGTCACCACTAGAAAGGAAGAAAATCCCCCCAAAACAAGCTAAGTTTTCCACATAACAGTGTAATGCTTTTCAAATTCTGACAAATAATTTTCAGTAAGTTCAGTTAAACTACTATTTAGAATATATACTAAAAATTGCCCTGTAAGTTTTACTCATTGCTGCTCTGAACAAAAAAAAAAATTACTTTTAGGGACTTTTTGATCAGTTTTCAAAATAAGGGAACAACCTAACACTCCAGTCAGCTGTAGTGACAGCTGAGCTAGATTTGTTTAGAACTGTGTCTCTACAAATTGGATGACACATATTCTGTGATCTTAAAGCAGTGAAATATAAATCTTCTTATTAATGCAGGCAATGATCTATCAGAGATATGCTTCCAGGCAGTGAGTTTAGACAGCAACAGCACAACATGGAATTCCCTACACTACTAGCCTCAAGTACAAGTAAGCTAAGAGAGGTTTTGCTCTACTAAAAGGAGCAGGAAAAAGTATAGAAAACCTTAGCAAAATGGCTGAACTAGTGATGTGAGAAGGCTTTAAAAACCCAATGTCTACATTGTATACCACCAATAGCATTCACTGAACTAGAAATCTTAAGACTGAATTTATGGCATTCAATATGCTTTACCTTTCATAAAGTTCCAAGAGTTTCTGATAAACATCTGCTAAGTCTCCTGTGACATCTGTTTGGTTGGGTTTCTCATACAAATTTGCTAATCCCTTAAGGAAAAAAAAATAGAAAAAAGTAAAGGAAGCAAGATTTGATGACAATGCTTATGTTACATGAGAATGCTAACTGGTCTGTATACAAAAAAAATTCCATTGTGAATACCCTTCAATAGGGTAAAGCATCAAGGCAGTAATCACTGTGCAGAATTCTGCACAGCTCACTCAATCCATTTATATTAAATGAAAAGCTTTCTTCACTTTCTAAACTAGTAACAACAATTTTTTTGAAACTTGTAGCTATTGCTTGATCTGGTCTGCACAAAAGACAATATAAAATTTCACTAGGCCTTATGACCGTATATATAAAATGCAAAAGACATAATAATATATATATACACACCCAAGTATTGTATCAAGAGAGCCAGAACTTAATTGCAAAAGTGAGGAAATTTCAACATAACACTGAATTCAGGCCCCAGCAGTAATACTTTAAAATATATAAAATTTATACTGAAAATACTAAGAACCTTATTATCTTAGAAAAACATGGACTGTTGATATCAGCAACAAACTTAATATAAAACCTTATGTTTCATGAATCAATACGTAACAAAACTGTAGGTCGTAAATCCATATTGCAATAGGCTCTAATGCACATACCACACAGCTATTTTAAATGTACACTTTTGCTTTCAAGTAACAACATTCATTAACAATCCACTTGATGCTGAAAGCTGGAAAAATACATTATTAGATACAACATTTTCTCTCCGTAAGAGAAGAACTGTCAAGTGTTTCTTGTGTTACAAGCATAGAAATTTTTACATGGACAAATTTACTGTATTTGTTTCAATTCATGTTCTCCCTTGCACGTCTCACAGCTGTGTAGTCTACACAAGAAATACAAACTCAAATATATTGAAAATAAAGTTCATCATGATTTTACATTGGACACACAACTAACAGGAACCCCATCTACTCCAAAGCTTCTGTGGAACTTAAGGGTCTCAAGAAAACAAGATAACACATGCCTTAACTCTGCTTTATTCCTATATTTAACTCCATAGTGATACTTTTGAGGGAAACAAAAACTGGATATTCACACACCTGCCATGCCAGTAATTGGTCTGGTTCAAGTTCAATGGCCTTCTTGTATGCTCCTTTGGCCTGATCAGGCTGCTCTAACTCAGCAGCTGCCAAGCCAATGAATACCCAAGCATTGTAGTTATTTTTTTCTTGCTTCAAGACTGCCTAAAAATACACAATTTTAAGTAAAACTGATTAAAGAAATGTAACTTATAGATCCATGTACTGAGTTTTATCACTACAGTTTGGTGGATTATTTTATATGCCAATATTAGGAGTGAAGTAATTTTAAGGAAGATGCTGAGATTAGTAACTTCAGTTTCTTATACCAGAAGATGCTTCATACCTGAAGAGTTGAGCTAGTAACCTGTATCTGCAGCTCAGCAATTAAAGCACTCCTAGGAGGTCTGGATTAGAAATAGATTTTTATCTCTATCACTCTAGACTTAATACTCTTATCAACACAAGTAAGCAAATGCAAAAGGAAAGGGAATAAAACTTTACATGTGGGAAACTAACACAAATAATCAATTAAGTTAAACCTGAAAATCCACCTCAATAAGGTACCCTACACTCTGCACTATTAATTATACAGTTGTAGAGGTATCAGAAAAAGAACAAAATGTGCAAAAAGCCCCAAACTTACCTTCCAAGTATAAATTTAATTACCTTGCAATATTTTAAGGCCTCCTTATACTGTTTATTTCTTATTGCATCTCTAGCACTCTTTAATGCTGCCTTCACCTCCTTATTTGACATTGTGGCTGCTAAATACAAAGGACGTGTCATCAGTTCTTGTAAAAGCAGACATTCTGACACATACAAAATGCTTATACCTTTATTGCACAGAGGTTATTTTAAACAGAGAAATATAGTGCAGTATGCCAAAATGCTTACAGTACCACAAACTGATGAAAAAGACCGCAGGGTTGAAACGACTCACATTTAGCTCTAATGCAGGATACAGTCATTATTCCAAAGAGTTAAATGATACAAAGTAGCTATCCAAGAATGAAACTTTTTTACAGGTTAAGATAAATTTAAGGAAGAGGTGTTTTAAGAGCCTGTAGTCACACTTAGGAGAAAACACCCTACACATAGCAGCTCCTCTTTAAAAAGAAACTAAGCAGTGAACCGGGCTTAAGAACCGGCTGCTAAGAATCGGGGTGTTTCTTGTGTGCTTTCTACAGCAGCACCATGGCTATGTGTCACACGCCGGTGTGGCCGACCCTGCTCCTCTCCCTTCACGCATGCTTACAGCAGATTCTGCTTCTGACTACTGCCAGGAACCAAAAAAGAAAAAGCATTTAAGAGCACAGCAAACAGGCAGTCACGCTTTTTAACACAATCTTGCAATGCTTTGGTGTATGTTGTACACCAAAATGAACTTTAGAAACACCACAGTCAAAGCTGTCAAAATAGGATGAGACTGAGGAACAACACTGCTGCTGCCAGCACCCAAAAAGATGAAAAGGACCAGCTGAAGAACAAAAAAAAACTTTTTAGGAGCTGCAAAGGAATGGGTGGACACAGGAGGACATCGAATTTCAAAGATTCCCTCAGAACCTGTAAATAAATCTGACGGACTTGCATTGCTCAGCAGTTCCGGGAGATAAATTTGCTTCCTACGAGGGAACAGATTCTTCGGCCATCATAAAAGCACCCCACCACGGGCACTGTGCAGCATGAGCTGCACAGTCACCTACAGGCAAAACACCACTTCGGCGCAAACCTGGGCACCGGGGAGGCGGCCGACCCCAGGGCGAGGCCATCCAGCCCGGCTGGCCTGCGGGTGGGGTCCAGGGCCCGCGCATGGGGTCCGGGGCCGCGAACGGCCTGGGCAGGCAACCCATGCCCGCAGCCCCCCCAGGGAAAGCCGCGACGGACCGAGCCAGCACAGCACAGCACAGCGCAGCACAGCACAGCGCAGCACAGCACAGCACAGCACAGCACAGCACACACCTGCAGCCGCCGCCGCGTCCGCCACCTCAGCCGCCACCCGGCTCACGCGCACTGCGACGCGGGTCAGTGACGAGCCAGGGCAGCCGCCATTTTCTCTCGGGGCACCGCGGGAGATGTAGTTCCCGCTTCCCGGGCACGCTGGGAATTGCAGGCCGGCGCCTTGGGCACTGTGGGAGTTGTAGGCCGCAGTGAGCGGGTAGCGTGCGGTAGGGCTTAACTTTACGCTGTGGCCAGAGACGCGGAATCTGTTTTCGGAGCTGCTGCTCCACGGTTAGAGAGTTGGAGGCCACGGTGGCGGGGCGATGCGAGACAGCGGGCCGCTGCGGCTAGCCGGTCTGGCGCTGCTCCTCGTGGCCTCCGGGGCGGGAACAAGGCCGCGGCCCACCACCCCCGGGGCCCAGCCCCGATCTAATGTTGTGTTGGTGGCCTGCGACTCCTTGGTGAGTGATCGGGACATGGAAGGGCACGCTAACAGGTCAGGGTGGGGGAGTGAAATCCTCTGCGGTGGCCTGGACGGAACTACAGAGCACCAGACACCGCGGCCGCATTGGCTGCATTACCTAGGCCAGAGGCACGGGCATGCGCAAACGGGAGGTTAGTGCGCGGGGCGCCGGAGGCTGGGCAGGGGCAGGGGCAGGGGCAGGAGCAGGAGCAGGAGCAGGAGCAGCAGCGGCAGAGCAGGGGCAGCGACAGGAGCGGCAGCGGGCCCGCCGTGCGGCGGGGCACTTGCACCCCCAGTGTTCCGAGCCAAATGCGGCCCGCTTCCCAGAAGGGTGTGCCTTGCTCGCATCAGAGGCTTCACAGCAGCCGAAAAGCTCTGCCCAGGTGGCTCCCACGGTCTGGTGTGATACAGCTTGTCGCCCGGGCGCGGGGCGTGCCACCAGGACTCTGTGGCAGGGCAGCCGCCCCTGGAACAGGGCTGGTGTGTAAAGCGAATGCTCTTCGGTTCGTTTGAAAAGTCTGACGGCAAGAAAGGTCACTAAACCCTGGTACCCTTCCCATTGTAAATCCTATGAATGTTAAGTCTCCACAACAAATGGGATAGCGATGTCTAGAATCACTTGACTTACTGAGCGCCAAATACTGGTTTATTGAGGCTGTGATAAGGTATAACAACAAAGTAAACTTGTCAGACGTGTATCTATGGCAGTAAGCATCTAGAGGCTTCATTACAGTGATTTATTAACATATTTGGTTTATCCTTCAGACACAGAAGTTTTTCCACTCAAAAATACTAATCCTTGCATGTATCTTCACAGTTTTCTCACTGTGCCCGCCAGCACACTAGAAATGCTTTGATGTGTTTTACTCTGAGGAGCCTTGGTTTTTCTGACTCACCTGAACACTCCTTGTTGTGGAATCGAACATAAGCTCCATAGTGTTAAGCTCCAGGTGCTTTCACATTTCATCACTTCTCTTCCACTATTGCGGAATTTGATCCCTAGCCTTCTTGGGCTTCCCTCCTTGACTGCACAGATAAAAGCAGTTGGCTTCTTGCCTGCTGCTGGTTTTTCTTGAGATGACTTTTTCCTAAATATTTGGTAAACACGTATTATCTTTTTTCAAACCCTATCTTTAAATGCATTCATTGTGATTTCAAAGATAAAGAAATAGCTCCTTCTTTATTTATGTAATAGCTCCTTATTGACTTTCCTTTCTTTGACTCTATTCTCTGTTAATTTTATTTTAAGTAATCTCTATTAATATTCAAAAATAATGCGTATTTTTCTCTCCAAATTTCCAGCTTTTACTAGAAGTCTGTTTACCAATAGTTAAAATTACAGTATTTAAGATCCAGAGGGTTAGTCAATGTCCATTTTACATCCAGATGCTAGCAGAGGCTGCTAGTTCACCAAACTTTGGTGAACTTTTATATGTCTCCTTTAAGCAGGAAGATTATTGTAAGCCATATTACAGTGATTAATGAGGTAACCCTTAAAAAAGAAAAAGATAAACCCCACAATTTTTGTGGAATTCTTATGGAAACAACAAGGTGCTCTTTTGAAAAGTGTCATCGTTGCATAGTGTGCATACAGAGTATAGTAAGAAAAATGTGTTGTATAAGCTTTTCTTCTGAGATGGATTTGAAGGTAGAAATAGATGAACCATTTTGATTACATCACTAGTAGAGAATAGGAAGGATGGGGTACTGTTGAAACTAACAGTTTTTCTGGAAAAAAGCTTAAGTCCTGCAGGCTGTTAAAAGGTCTGGGCTTTTATTAGAAAGCATGCCTGCCTTTGCTGTGGGTCACACTGCCTATGTAGGAATCACAGCTATTTTGCCAAGTGGGACAAGAATTTTCTTCACAGTGATGCTGGATTGTGTTTGGTGTGCAGAACAGTGGCCTCTTGCTTGAACAGCTAGCTTTCTGCTGCTGTGTCACACTAGGCATTGTGCTATTCCATGGGTTTCCTGCTGAAATGTGCTAGTAGGCAATTCAGCTCCTGAATTGCTACTTGAAATTTACTGTGTGATGGATGACAAGCTGTGCTTGCAATGCAATTCAAGTTTCTGGATGAAGGGTGCTTGTTTGTGTTAAAGTAATTTTATTTCCTTAGGTATTTCAAAACCTAGAAATCCTATGCAGTTTTTAGGGGATGGATTTCCTGAAATAGCTATTGAGCTTCCACCTGCTCAGCCAATTCAAGACACTTACTACTTTCACTGAATACCCTTTCATCTGTAGAAACAATAATCATGTCACAGTACCCCAAGCATGCAGTGACACCAAGAATATGGAGTTATTTTGCTGCTGTGTCATTGAATATGGTATCACAGTATTAATGTAAGGAGCTCTTGTCTCCAGCTGTTCAAACAAGACTTTGTTGGAGAAACTTAAGAGTGTGTTGTTGACAGGACTGCACAGCAGTTGAGTACTTTTGTCATGGTTTAGGAATAGTATTCTCCAATTTAGTGTTCTCACTGAAATCACTCCAAGCCATGTGCCACTTGCTCACTTCTCTGTCCCCCTCCCATTACTCTGTGGCAAGCTAGAGCAGAGAATTGGAGACACAAAAGATAAAGATCATGGATGGGGTAAGAAAGATTTACTAGAAACAGCAGAATTTGAACAGTTTACTAGAACAATAACAATAATAAAATTAGTATACAAAAATGTACAAGAGGGGTGAGCAATTCACATTTGAGCTCACCACTCTGCTATGCAGAGCCCGATAGTACCTGTTGGCTGCCACACTACTCTGACGTGGAAAGGACCCCTTCCCCTGTTCCTGGAAAATGACATGAGGTGGTACACAATAACCTCCATGTCTTAGCCTTGTCCCCTCCTGGCTACTGCAAAAAAACCCTGTCCTGAACCCTATCCTGGCTGCAACCAGGGTAACTTTCTAAAGAGCACTTTCAGCCCAAAGTTTTGTTAAAGTTCTTATTGTGTGTTACAGCTTTATTTCCAGTTTGTCCTACTGTTTGCTCAAGATGGCCATTTGTAATAGTATACAAGATTAGGTGATTGCTCATTTAGCATGTTCTGATATGAGCTGAGGTCAGAGTCTGCGGTGCTGAAGTTAGCTCTACTGGTGCCAAATGAAGTGAGTGTCTACAATGCTGGGTTATCCAAGAGTATTTCTGCCAGAAACCAAATGCTAGGAATTACTTTTTTTGGCAGTTAAAACTGCAGATACACTGTCGCCTGTGTGTTCACTGAAGAGCCAGTCAGGCTGGGGCTGTGTTGGCACATCTTGTTCAACCAAGGAAAGGAATAAAAGTGACAGATAAAACAGAATGACATGAAATATGGCACTCTGCATGGAACCTGGTTTCATGTGATGATAATCTTTTGCTGTTAAATTACCTATTCAAAATGTTTAATATTTTTTAAGTTACTGATTGAAAAATCTGTCTAAACAAATAGGTTATTAAAATTAAATGAGCATTATGAAAACATCAAAATTAGCACTATGGAAGTATCAAAAGGGAACCATTGTGGGTGGGATTTCTGTGGGAGAATAGCATTTCTTTAGCTTTCTAATCCCTTTTCCAGTCCATAGTTTCAAATAAGTTCACAGAGAAGTGGTATGGATATACATTTAGAAAGGATGAGGAATCAATGATGGTTTCACAGAAATATCTACTAGGCTGAATCCCAATGTAGATGTGTGCACTTACTCCTTTTTACCTTTCACTGTACCCATTCCCATTGAATGTGTCATGGTAGGACCCCACCCCTGAAGAACTGGAGCTTGGAATATGTGTAGTGATATACAGTGGAATTAATTTTACTATAAAGAAGCCCTTTTCCATTGCACTTTTTCAAAAGTGATCCATTTTATTTTTTTTTCTACTTAGAGCTTCTCAACATTGTTTTCCAAACCTGCTTAGAATTGGCAGCATTTGAGCAACACCAGTCTGTGGTAACAAATACATGAATTAATGCAGCTGATAGTTTGCATATATCATGTTTACGTGTTGCTTTTGTCTCATTGCAGGATGGACGCTTGACATTTTTGCCAGGAAATCAGACTGTGGATTTACCTTCCATAAATTTTATGAAAAGACATGGCACTGTCTTTCTCAATGCCTACACCAATTCTCCAATTTGTTGTCCTTCCCGTGCAGGTAGAACCAAGCAAAACACCAGATAAATAATTGCACATGTCAATTTAAATATGTGGTAATGATGGGAAATCTGAAATTATTTAATGGGGAGGGATTTGTTTTGTTTTTAGTATGATCCTTTTTTTTTTAGTTTGTGTTTGAATTCTTATGGTATTCTTCTCTTTCATCTGTTTATCTCTTCTGTTTCTTATGTTTCCTCCTTTATTTTTTTGTTTCTCCTTTTTTCAGTTAAGTGTAAGCTCCCAAATATTTTTACAAACTCCATTGAAGCTTCAGATTTTTAAAAAATCTCTGGGATATGTAGAGAAATCATCTATTTGTTCTGCTGCAGTGCTGAAAATACACTCAGAACTACTCACTCTTCCCAATACAAAGTTAATAAATATCTTTCCTCTATTCAGCAAAGTTATAAATAGTAATAGCTGAATAAAGTGGTAGTTGCTGCTGTCTTCTAGACACATGATGCATCTTTCAGTAGCTTTAATTGAATACTTCCATGTTTTTCTTTACTTAATGCAATTCTTGTTCTGTGTTCAATCTCACACTTGCAGAATTTGCTAGGAAGATGGAAGGAAACTATATTCCTCAATCAAAGATTACATCTTAAAACATTTCTACCTTTTTGTTGAAAGACCCTCCTTAATCTGTAGCTATAGAAAGGTCCCCCTTCCTCTCAAAGCATACACTGAAAGAAGCAGCAGACAAAGGAAGTCAAATACAGTGTTACATTTTTAATATTCTCTTTATTGATTAGCTAGTCCCCGTTTCTTTTTTCTCATGGTCACATTTTAAGTGGGTGATGTTACATGAGCAAGCAGTTCGACTTTCTTTCCTTTTCTTGATGTTTGAGTCTTTCAGCCAATTTTTATTGCTAAGAATAATACTTTATGTTATTTAATTTTAGGAGGTTTTTGAAAATGACACATTGGTATTCCTGTGGGAAAGAAAGTGCATAATGAATTAAACGGTTTATCAGTTATGTGTAGTGTTGTAGATAGCTGTGACTACGTGGGGCTCTGAACCAGCAGGACATCTTTTGCTTAGCCAGGAGCTTGGATACCTGCAAGGAACTGAAGGTGCATCTGTTGTGGAGGTGTCAGGGATGATACCACAAGAGATAGTGGGAAAGAGGGTTTTGGGGTGGGGAAAGGACCAGTATTGCCATGTGGGGTTGATGCACTTTGCTTACAGGATATTTCTATTGCTTGTGAATGACTTAGTTCTGTTCTGGGACTACCTTTAACTCTAAATTAGCACTGGAAAGAGCAAATTCTTGATAAGCTGCAAAAAAATAGGAATTCACTTTAAAAATCTCCCCTTATAGTTCCTTTGCAACACTTGCTTTGGCTTCCTTTCTTTGTGGTATCTTCTTTAATATTCTCACTTTGTTTCTGCAACTGGTAGTGAAGTAGATTACCCAAAAGAATAAAATTGAGGGCATGTTGTATTTATAAGAATACTATATTGTAATTCTCTCCACAAATATACTTAACTTTAAACTCACATTAAATCTAACTGTAGTAAGGGTAACTAATACTCTGAAAAGTGTAAATACAGAATTGTTTCATCAGGATCTGTACTACCATGCCATTTTCTTTCAGAAATCAAGAGGAATATTTTCTGATCTAATTAGAACTTGATTTAATGATTGCATAGTGCCTGGAAAGATGGAACCTTCTTCTGCAATTCTGGGGATTATTTGAGTAAATTTTGATACTTGTCTTGGTAATGAAGTAAGATTTGGAAGGGTAATACTTTGTATTCCTTGTTCTATTGTATCACAGTTTGGACTTTATACCTCTGTAATAATGAGAAGATTAATCCCTTTCCAACCTTATAGGTGGGGAGTACTAATCACTCATAATTTTTTTTTTTGCCAGCTATGTGGAGTGGTCTTTTCACTCATATAACAGAATCTTGGAATAACTTCAAAGGTCTAGATCCAGATTATGTAACATGGATGGATCTCATGGAGGAGCATGGCTACCATACGCAGAAGATTGGGAAATTGGACTTTACTTCTGGACATCATTCAGTAAGGTAATCAGGTGGATTCTCCTGCTGTGGAGTGGGCAGCAGTGAAGAAATCATGTAGTGTGCCGTCACATTGTTTCAGGCTCCAGTTGAAATGATAGTAGCTTTAACTTAAAAGAAATTGTGTTAGGTACCTAGCAGAGATCTGTCCTGCAACTTTATGGAGAAGCAAGCTTGCTTCTGTACTTTTACTTACTCTGTACAGGCAAAAGCCGAAGTACGTATCTCTGTACTTTGGCTTTTACCTGTAGCTGAAATGTAATACAGAAACTAGTTTTGCTCAACGTGAATCATTATTTTCTACCACTGGTATTATTTCTCCCTAAGTGAAATTCATAAACTGCCTTGCCTTGCCTTGCCTTAAGACTTCCTGACTTCCTGGTAATACTAACAGTGTAGGAAAAGCAGAACAAAACCCCATACTCGTAATAATTAAATATTAAGCCTACTATCACAAAATGTCAGAGGTTTTGAGAGGTTTTTTTGAAGGCCGTAAATGTTCAAAGACTTGTGCTGTTGTGATGGGTTGACCCTGAATGGACACACCAGGGCCACCATGATAGAACAAACTTTTTGTGACTCCACCTCCTCCAGTGAGCAGGAAGGAGAAACAACAGTGGCTCAATGGTGAAGATAAGGGTAGAGAGAGATCACTCAGGTACACAGCAAAACAGACTTAACTTAGGAAAATTAATTTCATTTATTGCTAATAAGAAGCCAGAGTAAGCAAATGAGAGGTAAACCCAAATCTTAAAACACTTTTCCACCACCCTTCTATCCAGGCTTAACTTCCAAATTCTCTACCACATCTACTCACAGTAGTTTGGGAATGGGAACTGTGGTCAGTTCATCACACATTGTCTCTGCCACTCATTCTTCATCAGGAGATCTTCTTACTTCTTCTGCTTCAGTGTGGGGTCCCTCCTCCACTGAAAGGACAGTCCCCCACTGATTTCTCCAAAGTGAGTCCTTCCCATGGGCTTATGTTCTTTACAAAGTGCTCCACCATGGGTTCCTTCCCCAGGATGTGCTCCTTCAGGAGCAAACTGCTCCAGTGTGGGTTTCCCCAGGGAGTCACAAGTCCTGCCAGTAAACCGGCTTCAGCTTGGATTCCTTTCTATGCAGGTACTGCTGGAAGTGCAGTGCAGGCTTTCCACAGGATCACAGCCTTTGGATATCCATTTGCTTTGATGTGGGATACTCCATAGGCTGCAAGAGGATATCCATTCCATGGATTGCAGGGGGACAACCTTCCTCACCATCTTCTCCATGGGCTGCTGGGGAATCTTCATTCTGTGTTGTTTTTATGAACATGCTCAATATCACTGATTATGTCCATAGTAGAAGTAATAATAAAGAGAAGCTTTTTCTTTAATAATAAAAAGGTTAGAGTTATTGAGTGCTTCCTTTTTAGTTATGAGGGGATTTTATTCTTTAAACTTGATCCTAATCTCAGTCTGACTGGATAATCAGACTGGCCTATGGCCTACATAGTATTTTTTTTCTGTATAAATCAGTATTATGACGTTGGGTGCAATTAGACACACCCACACACTCCTTTGTCATAATTTTATTTTAATGTTTATGAAACATGCTTTTTCTGTAAACCAGTTACCTTAATTTGTTCTAAGTAATTTATTTAAGCCTGTTTGTGTTGAAATTATGAGCCAAGAAGTTAAAACAATAAGTTTTAAACAAGAAGTTAAAACAATTGTTACAGATGGCTTTTCTGGAAGTTAAAGTGCACTAGTAAAATCCACTTTGGGGATAAAACTGGTTAGATGCTCTTTAAACAATAATAATGTTGTGTTTTGATAAGAGCATGTGATCAAACTTTGAGCAGTTTTATACTTTTCTTTGTAATTTGGTTGGTTATATTGAAATTGCCATGAACAACATGAAGATTGGTCAAGGTCTGTCTCTTACCAATGTCCACCATCATTCACTTTAGCAAATAAACAAGGACATTTGTAGCTCAGATTTGTTTTTAGTGTTTTAGAGACACAATTCCATGACATTAGAAAATCTGTTTAAAAAATATTTTATCATTAAAATGTTGCCAGTTTTCCCTCCTTCTGCTTTCTTTACACTCTTTTCTGTTATTTGTTTGATAGGATTTTTACAAGAGAAATAATTCTTACAGATTTTTGTCTAAAGTGTGTTTAATTAATAGTACAAGCCATATCCAGAATGTTGTTTCTAAAGACAGCCGCAGAAGTAACGTTATTTCCCACTAGATTCTTTCACATAAAAATCTCAATTTACAAATAAATAGTGTGTGAATCTGTGCCAAAATATGGAGAAGGGTCCACAAGATGAAGTGGTATTTCTAAGTATTATTTTATAGATGCGAGAAGAGCCATTCTGACATAAATGGGTAATAAATAAGAAAGAAGATTCAGAAGCAGACATAAAAAGGCTGACATTCTGAGTATGAAATACATGCACAATCATTATTGCTCAATTGAATAACAATTCTCCTTTATGCAGGAATTGGAAATAGATTGCAGCTGAAAGTATAGGGAAAGTTCTTCAGGAATTCATAATGCTTTTTACTTGGAGGAAAAGTGAAGAAAACATTTTCTGTTGAGTATGTGACTTATGTATGTATTTTTCAGTAACCGTGTGGAAGCTTGGACTAGGGATGTTAACTTCCTGCTCCGACAAGAAGGAAGACCCATGGTGAAACTTACAGGCCATAGGAAGCAGTTTAGAGTAATGGAAACAGATTGGCGGAACACTGACAAAGCAGTAAATTGGATAAAGGAAGAAGCTGTTAACTTTACTCAACCATTCATTCTTTACTTGGGACTAAATTTACCACACCCGTATCCATCACCCTATGCAGGAGAAAATTTTGGATCCTCTACATTTTTAACATCTCCCTATTGGCTTGAAAAGGTATGTGAATGTAAAATTTAAATATTAATTTATTAATAACTGTACTTATTATAAACAGTATTTTATTCCTGATTTTTCAAGATACACCCAGTTTTGATATTTCACTACACAGTAAGAAAGTACTTGAATGAGATGTTAGATTTCTGATTAAAGGCTAAGAAAATAGAAGTGACAAATTTGTCTCTGTTGTGGGAAAAGGTTTGTTGGCAGTAGTCACTGAATCATTAAGTAAGTATGGAGTTCAATGGCTAGAAACACATTAAGGAAAATGAGATTGTTGCTCTTCTTAGCTGTAAATTAATTTTGGTAATGGTCTGAAGCTCATTGTTATGAATATTCTGTATTTTGCTTGTTGGAAATTATGCCATATGTAATAATTTTGTCTGAGTTCTACGGTGAAAGATTGACTTTTTCTGCAGTATGGACCTGGAACCTAAAGCAACATGACACAACAGAAATCTTCCTTTTCTGTTAACTTTTTCTGTGCTTCTGTAGGTTTTCAAGCTCATGAAAGTGTCCTTATGTCTGTGTGTGTAAAACTAAGATATAGCACTCCAATCCAAAGAAGAAATACCTTTTTTCAGTCTTGTATAATTTCCAGTTGCCATTAACTGCCATAAAATATAAATGTACTACAATAGATTTAATTGCATTAATATTCTCTGCAGCTGCAGAATTAGAATTAGGTTGATAAGACTTTATACTTCAAAAAACCCCTTCAGTGCAATTTATGTAACTTTTGGCCTTTTCCATAACAGAACTGCTAAACCTCTTTATCTTGGTGTACCAAAAATACAAATACTTAGGAAAAAAGTATTTACAAATGGAGGTTGAGAGATGTGAATTTTTTTCATAATGGTGAGGGTTGTGCGTTCTTCTGGGAATGGTGAGAAGTTTGTGGGGAGAGGAAGAATTTGGGAAAAAAAAACCCCTTTCAATTGCAAAAAAGCAAGATCTAGCTTAGTTATTAAGGAAAACTTGCAGGGTGCTGACTGCTGGGTTAGATGTATCTTGGGAAGCATAGGTACTTTTTTTGAGTCACAGACAGTTATAACATCTTTGACAAATTTTTGTCATCTTTTATCCAGTCAGAGTACCTTAACTACACAGTGCTGGGCTCCTTCCCACTACTGTGCATACATACTGCATTGTGTGGGCCACATGTTACCATTTACTGACCGTTGGCTGGTTCTTCTGCAATGTAGCTCTTTTTTGGTTATGGAAGAGACAGTTTTTTAAAATCACAGAGATAATCTCATGAAGAAGTTTGGTTGCATAGATTAAGAACTGAATAAAATGTCCTGTTTATTTGGGCTGTAATACAGAACAGAGTGTCACCATGGTACGTTTGTGAAACACTGTTTTGTTAACGAGATGGTCCCCTATATTTTACACAAGCTGTCCTTTTTTCAGGACATGTGGCTTCTTTCCTAGTTGTGAATTACGTGTCTTGGTTTAAGACAATTCAAAGAGGTCGTCATTCTAAAATGAGTTCCTCCCCTTAGTTTCAACCAATCCCTTTCTACCAATAAGGAACCAATACCAATAGATAAAAGTGAAAAAGTGAGTTTTCTAACAAGTGAAACAGCAACATGCGAAAAATAGCAGTGAGTAATCACCAGGTACAAACTTGCTGAATCACAGGAGCTCCACAGGAACAAAGAGACCCCACACTGGTGGGGTGCTGCCCCCTTCTAATCTGACATGCCCCACTGCTGACTGCCTGCAGGGAGCAAAGGGAAAGTGGTGTCAGGCTCTTTCCAAGGTGGCGCTTGCCACAGGTGACCATGCCCTCCAAGAAACAAAGGGAACGGATGGCAGCAAACTCTCCTGGGAAGGTTGAAGCTTACGAAGGTCTACTGGCAGATGGGAAGTTCTGGCACATGTGGAGTAGCACTGCTGTTCGCTGCTTCCTCCTGCACCGGCTGAATTCCACCAGTGTTGGTGCTGGAGATCAGGTGCTGGTACCTTCTGATCTGCTGGTGTGTTGGAGAAGGGAGCAGGGGAATCTGGTCTCTGGACACTGATTAGGGGTGGCCCAATCCCCTGATCAAGCTTCGCTGCCTATAGAGTTTGCAAAGATCACTAGGAAAACAGCTTCTTTTTGATAAATGCAGTTTTTCCGAGTTGCTACAGTTGGAAGCCCAGAAACTTGCCCATATCAGCCCCCTCTGAAGCGGAGTCTGCTACTTCAGCAGAAGAGGAAGTCAGACTGGGTTTCTTGACCTGTTACTGGCAGTCCCTTTACTGGCATCCCCAGGCTGCCCTGCAATTCTGGTTCCAGCCATGCTTTTTGGGTCTTAAAGGCACAGTAACAATCTTATGGCACAGATAGATATGGAATACAGTAACATTTTGGGTTACCCAGCACATTACCATAGATAGACAAAAGGATTGTGGCTTTGTGAATACTTAAAACTGAGCTGTAGAAGTCCTGTAGAAAAGAATAATGGATGGAGAGGGACACTTTTTGCGCTCTTATCTTAAGCAGCTAATAAATACCATTTGCAAAGCCCACAATGTAACTCCAAAATGTAGCCAAGGACCTTGAGCAGTAAGAACATAACTGAAGCATTATTATTTTATCTTAATGATTTTTTTTCTAGCAGTGTTTTTTTCTATTGATCCTAAGGAAACGTAAATTTTGTTGTGTCTATTTGACTGTTACAAAGCCAGGTTTTACTTTGTGGGTGCTTGAACTCTTGCAGATTTATCAACTTGTTTAGCTGTCCAGCTTTTCCTCCAAGTAACAAGTGAAAGTACAAAAGGAAATTGCCTCAAGTTCCCTTTTATTTAAGGGAATATTTACAAGTACGACAGCCAAGGGTAATGTGTATGTCAAATTTCAAGACTCTAAAGCTAGTACTGAAGCAGATAATATCTGTGACTGCATAGTTTGAATATACAAATAGATTGGCTTTTTGGTTTCATACTGATGTTACATTTCTTTATAACTAAATGGATTGACATATGTAGAAACATGTAGTAAATACTAGAAAATTGGATTAATGTAGTCAATTCTTTTTATCAAGATGCCAAGACTTGTCATCACCGTCCTGGAGGCTTTGCCAGACTACATGGTTTTGTGTGTTGTTCTCTAGTCCTACATAACACCCAATCTTTTAGATCCATGGGTTTACCGTTATTCTACAGTTACAAAGATTCTATGCCAATATTCTGTACCTATTCTAGAAGAGTGTTCTGTGATATCTCTCTTAAAAATGTACAGCAGTTGGTGAAGCACATATTTGTGGTTCCTACCCTTAGTTTCTATTAGATTTTCATAAGTTTTTAAAAAACAGTTTACCTGTGGAACTGTGGGGATGTATGGAGGAGGTAGCTGCGTGGTGTAACAATTAAGCAGCTAGTGTTTCCTGGGCCACAAATTGAGAACTGTGAATTTATGCTATAATTCTTTTAATTAAATCTGTGTTAAAAATCTTGTTTAATTCAGTTGCTAAAGTAATGTTAATTTCCTCTTATTTTTAGGTAAATTATGAAGCTATTAAAATACCCAAGTGGTCTTCTCTTTCAGAGATGCATCCAGTAGACTATTACTCATCGTACACCAAGAATTGCACAGGAGAGTTTACAAAGGAAGAAGTGAGAAATATTAGAGCATTTTATTATGCTATGTGTGCAGAGACAGATGCCATGCTGGGTAGGTAATGTCTTATTACACAGTGGGTTTTCTAGCTCTGATTTTTTTAAAAGAAAATGCTGATAGGGCAGATCTTTGGAGGAAAAACATAGCAAATAAAACACCATAATTCAGATCTGGGAATAAGTTGTGAAAGTTGCTTATTTAGTCTATATGATAAATGACAGGATGGCCTCTTAGGTGAGTTGAGACCACTCTGAAAAGTAATCACAGCCAGCAGTCAGAAGCTCTGTAGAAAACCAGTGACTGCAGCAAAATAGGGCATGACCAATTGCACTGGTTTAAAACCCAATGGGAAAATTACCCCATGCAAGCTGCCCCTCCTCCCCCATTCCCTTTTGACAGCACAGGAAATACTAGGAGAGACCGGAAGTGGGATCAACAATTTTACTGAAAAACTCAAAATAAAGAGCAATGTACATAAAAGAAGACACACAAGGAGAGTGCTCCACCCAGAGGAAGGGTGTTCACCAAAAAAAAGCAAAAACACCCTCCAAAGACAGTACCTAGTGTAGTTTTCCCAGACGAAGACAAGATGGCACCTGTCATCTCCATCCCCCCCACACTGGACCATGCAGCTTGGAAAAACTAAAGCAATGAGGCAAAAAAGTTTCTGCAATTTATTATCCTTCCTCCAGCCTAGAGGAAACAATGGAAAACAGGGACAGAACAAAGCCTGGAGAGCTCATTAATCCAGATAAAGGGTCTGGCTCTGTAAGTGTTGGCCCAGACAGTGGCAGCAGTGGCAGAAGCACTAGCAGCAGTGGTGACAGCAGCATTTTGTCTCATCTTCCCACTGCTCCAGGAATAGTTGCAGTTTGTCAGGGTTTCAGAAACAGTTACAGCCGCCCTTGATTTCAGCAACAGTTAAGTGAACAAATCACACATTTCCACTACCGAGGTAAGACTGAATTCTCTTCAACACACCATAGCATCTCTTGCTGAAAGCCATGCTGCCTCCATGACATAGGTGGTATGTTATTAAATAGTGCTGGAAACTCCACCCTTCTTTTCCTCTGTACCCAGGACACCCATGTACAAGAGGAACTAAATCTCTTTTATTAAGTGCTAACTGAAATAATGGAAACATTTTTGGGAAGGGGACTGACTGTAAAAGCTGAGCTGGAAGAAAAAGATAAATTTTAGGGCATAAGTCATTTTCCTTAGAGGCCAATTTCAAATGTGTAGACTGGATAACAGCTGTTACACATCGACTGAAGAACAAAGTTACATTTGGAATGTCTCCTAGAAGCACATTATTGAAAGTTATGAAGAAATAATTAATTGTACATTCAGAAGTCTTCAGAGTTTGCAGGACTGTCTACAAATAAAAATGCAAATTGGTCTTAATTTACAGCATTTTATTTTTTAATTTGAAAAGTGACCATGAATGAACAAGAATTTGTTTGCATACCAACATGAAATTCATGATCAAATAAGTGAATCTTTTAGGCATATGACCTAAACCAGGACAGCATATCAGATTGGTAAAGTGAATTAAAAGACATAGAATTGCTCCTCCTCATTTTATGAATAAAAATAAATTAATGGAAACCTTACAGGTTTAGGAAATAAGGGACTGCAAAGTAACCGCACTGCAGTTCTAGTTTTATAACATCTTTTAACTAGTATGTTAGGCATGAATCATCCTAAAGTTTTAAAATTTAAGATGCCTAAGTGCTTTGCTTTACTACCAACTTCATTGATCTTGGCCCTGTCTTTGTTGCATAAATGTACATACAAAAATAGAGGATTATATGTTGTGTTTTCATTGCACAAATGTATGTGCAACAAAAGAGGAGTTTCCTCCACTGGAATGGGAGTGTTCCTTGAAATTTACATGCTGCTTTGTAGGTAAAGACCTTGGAAGAAGTATTTTGAATGTATCCTTTTCATTATCTTTTTGTTATTTCAGGTGAGGTTATTTCAGCTCTGCGAGATACTGGGCTTCTTGGAAAAACAATCATTATATTCACTGCAGATCATGGAGAACTTGCTATGGAACACCGTCAGTTCTATAAAATGAGCATGTATGAAGGAAGTTCCCACATTCCTCTTTTAGTTATGGGGCCAGGTTTAAGAGAACAGCACCAAATACCAAATGTAGTATCTCTTGTGGATATCTATCCTACTATGCTTGGTGAGTTAAATAATTTCAGGAGACAATTTTTTCCCCCTTTTACCATTACTATTCTGTATTTGTATCATAATAGTCAGAATGATGTCTCAGCTTTGAGAGAATATATTAATAGAACAGGAGATAATTTATCTGTTGACCGTAAAAAGTAAAAAATGGATGAAAAAATAAAGAAACTGATTGTCTTCCTTATGTAACTGTCATCCACATAATTACACTGACTGATTATATATAGGATTATTTGTTAGTAAAAAAAGGGAGTAAACCCCATTTTAGATATGAATAATCCTTGCTAGCCTCACACCCCACGGTTTACTGTAGAAATTTCGGTGTAAACGCATCCAGAGATGAGATTAAACTTGAAAGGAGGAGGACAGGTTCATTAACTTAGCAAAGGAATGTCTTTTATGAAGAGCCATGTGGAAGAAGTGTGATGAAAGCTTTGTATAGGAAATGTAAAAGTTATCTGGGCACATGTAAAAAGATGTGATAATGGATATCCATTCTTACCTTATGAGATTTGAAAATACTCAGTATTGGACAGAGAATAAAATAAAAATAACTAAAATTATTGAGATGGAAATCACTTTTAATAGGGAATTTTTGAACACTTATATGTGATAAATCATGCAAGAGACAATACTGATTGGAATTAAATATCAGGTAAAGTTATCTTTTGAGGCTTTGTCTGTGAACTTTTAGGCTTCCAATCAGGAAAAATGTTCTTTTCAAATCAGTCTGGAAGGCTTCCTCTCTAAGAGGTGTCACATGTACACCGCAATTGCCTGGAGAACATGAGTGACTAAAACTGTAGTTTTAGCGTAAATGTCAGTGAAAAATCCACTTCTATATTGTTTTAAGTTGATTTTCTAAAAAGTAAACAGAAGTTATTTATCTGTTTGTGTCTTCTCAAAGCTTTTGAACCAGTTATCTAGTGACAAATAGGATATAAAATCTGAGTGGCTTTCTCTTCCAAATTTTAACATCGGAATTGTTATGTGTATATATTTATACTACATATGGATCTTATACAAGTTATGGTAGCCTATGTAAAGAGTTAAAAATCTCTTATTTCTTTGTCTCTTCTTCCCAAGTGAGATAATTGGTCGGATGGTTTAACATCCTTCTGTCTTTTCCTCCTGGGAGTTTTTTCATTTGGGCTTTCTTCCCCCAGAACTTTGTGTGCATAATTCATTCCTTCTGTTCTGGCACCTCCCCTTCTCTGTACTCTGAATGCCAAAAAGCATGTACGATGAAAATTAAAACTTGAACAGCCATCTCTATCATATATTGTGTTCTCAGTCTGCATGCTGCTGCTGACTAGTGAGGAAACAGATTACAAGTCTATTTTTGTGACATCTAATTGCTTTGCTTTGTGTTGTCACAGGGAAATAATCTCTCTTAAGACGCCATCTAAGTGCTTTGGTCAAGACTGCCTCCTGCACTGGCTTTGAGAATAAGTGCAAGTGTTTTGATTCCAGCAGAACCTGTGTGATATAAATGTACAGTCAGAACTGCAACAGCTCTTGCCTTTTGTAACAGGATATAGCATAATCTCCAGGCAGCACTAGCTTTGTTGTTATTTCTGTATGGAAATACCTTTGGTTTGCTATTGGAAAAGCAGGAGCTGCTGAATGGCTGGAACACTCTTTGCACATAGGGAATCCAGTTACTGCAAGTAATAGTTTACCGGTTTAGGATGACAGAAGAACCTAGATCTCTTTTTCATTTGTTGGAATATAGTATGTATTTGTTCAAATTTTTTTGCCCATGAATGACCAGGAGCTGCTTGCTGGGGTTTACATGTTATGGGTCTTGGTACTTTGTCAGATGCTGGCTGGGCAGAGGACAAAAAGGAAGATGTGTGCTGATGAAGGAAAGAGTCACCTATGAGTAATTTATATGCACACAGTATCAACACTCAGTGCAAAATAGATTAAATACTACCACAGTGCTCTGTGAAATGGAAAGTTTTGAATTTTGAATTACGGTAAATACGGTTTAGTGGCATGATCAAAAATAGCAGTACTGTCATAGGTGGTTTTTGGACATGCTAGGGATTTTCAGCTATGTTTTTCAGAATGTTTCTGAAAAACCTTTGCTGTCTTTTAACCTGATCTTTTGGAAGCTAGAGAAACTTCTGGTATAAGTTCATGCTGAGGAGTTTATGGATATTACAGCATCTTCTAGTGGCCGTCTGGTAGGCTACGGAGCCATCCAGTGTTTTCCGTACATGCACTATGTTGATACCACCTCAAATATCATCTTTTTCTCCAGTCCTGCCAAAGAAGCAAGTAGCCCTGCTCCTCAGGTTTCCCTACCAGTTATAGGTGATAATAATGGTCACCTTTTATGAAGCATTTCATTATTCACTAATGAAGAATGCTACAGATGAGCTTAGCACCGTTACTGTTCGTGACAAACGGTTGCAGCATGTTGGATGTGGAGCCTTTAGGATCCTTTCATGCTGTGTTATTCTTTTTCTTCTGCCTGAGATAGAGCAAAAGAGAAATGTTTGCAACCACGATTAAGGAATAAAACAGCACCATCTGTCAAAGGAGACTATAGTGATCCCTTTTCACAAACTTCTGTTAAAGGTTAAGTTATACATAGGTGATATATTTCATCAAGATGCTGGGCAGCTTGCCTTGGGAAGTTCCTTAAGATATTTTTTATTGTGTATTTTGGGATAATAATTAGGAGAGCACATTTTATTATCCACATTCAGATATTGGTAGCATTGTGTTATACTTTTTTAAAACTGAAAACTGAAGTAGGATTTTTGTTTTGTGTATCTTTCCTTAGATATAGCAAGAATTCCTGTCCCACAGAACCTCAGTGGATATTCTCTTATACCACTGCTACGTGAAAAAGCTGAGAGCGAAGCGTCACCCAGAGGACCTCGGCCCTCATGGGTGCTGAGTGAGTTCCATGGGTGCAATGTCAATTCCTCTGTGTATATGCTGAGAACTGGCAAGTGGAAATACATCACATACTCGGATGGCTCTTCGGTACTGCCCCAACTCTTTGGTATGCTGCTTTTATGTCTTGACTGACTTCTTAATTTACTTCAGTGCAAATTAAACCTTAACTGACTTTTTGTTTTTTACAGACCTTACTGCTGATCCAGATGAGCTTACAAATCTTGCCATAAAATTCCCAGTAACTGTACGTTCTTTGGACAAAATACTTCGCTCTATAGTAAACTATCCAAAGGTTTCTACTTCTGTTCAAGAGTATAATAAACAACAGTTTATCAGTTGGAAACAAAGTTTGGGTCATAATTACTCAAGTGTTATTGCAAACCTTAGGTGGCATCAAGACTGGTTAAAGGACCCAAAAAAGTATGAGAATGCAATTGACAAGTGGCTTGGTAAGTAGATACAGACAACCTGGATTTCATATGAATGAGGATATAAAAACATTATGCATTTGTAATATTATGCTGTATTTCAAATGGTAGAATTATTTTCTTATATAACCTATTGAAAGTAAAGATAACTGAACTGCTACTGCTTTATGTCAGAAAGGCGAGAGCATTTTTGTAACTAGCCAGCATAACAAAACTAGAGTTTTAGATGTTATTATTCTGTAAGTAAGTGTATATAGAAAGGGTATTGCACAAATACTAATTGTGTGTATGTAATATTTAGCTGATTGCAAAAGTACAGAGTATTAAGCATTCAAACTCAACAGGAACTTCCATTTATAAGAAAAAGCAAGGGTTATAAAACTAAGTAAAGTACCAGTTGCAGTGCAATTTCCTGTGTGTATTATAAGTCTAGATTGAATAGACATTCATCAAAAAGTTGGTAACCAGTACAGGTCTGAACATAGATGTGGGTCATGCGAGTACTTAACTATATCAGCATTCCTATGTTACATGTGATTGACTCCCTACGTTTTCAAGGTCTGCCTGCTAATCTCTTGCTCCTCTCTGGTCATCATCATAAATTAAAAAGAAAAACCCTTCTTGCCAAACCTATGAGTAGAGCAGTTCTCTGAAAAATGATAGTGTGATTTGCATAAAATAAAATAAAAACTGCTTGAATGCAGTTAGATCCTGCAAGTAAATGCTTTAATGCCCATCGGTGAGTGGAGAATTGAAACCTAAAATGTACACAGAGGAGACACAATTGAAGCTTGCAGGAAGAGTTAACGGAAAAATACTGTTTCCCATTTTTCCAGTGACTGACAAAAAAAAAGTAGTTTTAGAAGAAGGTAAGATTTAGGTAACAACTCTTCCATTTATGGGAATATGTAATTACAGCAGTGCTTAGGTTTGCTAATTCTTGGTCACCATCATTGCTGCTATAGTACCAGTTCACAATGACATTATACTTCATACATAAAATGTTTTCTGGAATCTGTTATTAAATGCTCAGTAGTAGCAGTAAGCCAGTAAAAATAAGCATAAAAATGAGACATATTTTCGGATGGCTCCACACTCGTTTAATGAGCAACTTCCCACACAGAGTTAAAAAATCTTGAAAACCTGTATCACATGCCATTATAATTCTTATTAAAATGAGTTCAGGTACAGTTGGAATTACTTAAACAAAATAAATGGGCTGCATAATTAGAGGAAGTATTTATATCCATACGAAAATTTGTTCAAGAGAAAAAAGAATAAAGAAATTTTCTCACTTTCCAGAGGTCTGGACAAAATGCAGTACATTGTCCAAAACAGAGTAAAATAAAATGATGGTGAACTGGATGTGTTTCGTGTGTGTGCTTTTAAATGATTGAATGTTTAAAATGTAAGGAAAATTGTATTTTGCCAGTTTTGTGAACAGTGCTTTCCTTGAAGAGATGAGCCTTGAAGAGAACTCACTGATGTTAGGTTTACAAAACTGCCATTTTTGATAGTCTCTCTAAGGAGGAACAAATAGGAAGAAAACCTTGCAACAACATCTTGTGCCACAGACTGTCCAGAGAAGCCCAGTGAATGCAGACGGGCTTCTTGAAAATTCAGTAAACCCCAGGAATGGGCCAGCTCACAGAGCAGAGCTTGTTTTTGTTCAGGAGACCAGGTAAAATCATTCTTCTGCTGGGTCACATGGCTTGCAGTCATGGAATTGTAATATGGAATACCTCTCCTCCAAAAACACGAAGTAGAAAGATGAAAGAGAAATTATTAAAACAGAAGGCCACACTTGCTAGTGTTGTATTTAGAAAAGTTTTAGTATCTGTTAGTCTTGAGGAATAATTAGAAAGATTTGTGTTTTCCAGGAGACCAGAACTTGATAAATTAGTTTGTGACAATGGGAGTCAGAGCTGGGAAATGGTGATGATAGGTAAAAAGGACTAGAAAATATTAAAAAAATAATTGGATACCTTTATTTCAGGATAAAGTATAAGGAACTTAGCTTAATAGAATGGGCAAAATAATTCAGAAAAACAGAATTTCCTTTGTGTTCTTTTGTGTTCTCTGTAATTTTTTTTACTGCCTCCCTTGGTTCTACCAGTTTTCCATGAAGTTTCTTGAGAAGCAAGACTAGAATTCTTTCCTTGTGCTTTTATTTTCTTGGTCTTCTTTTAGACTCTTGGCAGGGTTTTCTAGTTGTAGACACTGTAAAGGGATACAGGTTGCTAAATCTGTGTCTCCTTGAGTACTGTTTTCAAACTTAACTCTTTCAAAAATATTGAATGTGGTTTTCTCTTACAGAAGATATTGATGCTCTTCTGGGCATCCGTGAAAGGTGTTGATATTTGACTGGCTGGATTGGGATGGACAGACACCCTTCCCCAACAAATCTAATTTAAAGCCCTCTTCAGGAGTCTGGCAAGTCTCTGACCAAAGATGCTTTTTCCCTGCTTTGTCAGATGGGCTCCATTGCCCCCAGGAAACCAAGGCATGGCAAAAGGGCTGAGTAACCAAAGTCCTGAGTATGGCACCATGATTCCAATCATTTGTTGCCCTTCCAGAGTCATTTGGCCCTTTCACAATAATATAATTTCATTACCTATGAGCCCATTAAAAAAACACACATTATCATTCTGGTTTCAGATTGCTCAGGCATAACTAAGAATAAGCCTTTGAAATGTGAGGAAGTGTGTCAAAGCACATGCTCACAGTTGTGTAATGAGCCATTAGCAACAAGAATAAAGCATATTGTTAAGTTTAACAAGTTTGGAAAACCAGGATAGCAGTATCATCTTTCAGACTGATTTTTCACTCTTCTTTTCCTCTTCTGTTTTTTTTTAGATTTTAAAGAGAAAGATAACGTGTCTTTCTGTAGCTTTTGCTAAACATAGGTACTTGTTTCAGCTTTTGTGAAGTCACATTACCTTTAATTCTTCTCTCTTACTGAAGATGCAATGACTAGAAGGTCAAAATTAAAATTGGAAGCAATAAACCTCTCCATAAATCATCTTTAATCTTGCAGATGGAACTATCCTGAGGTCTTTAGGCTTATGTAATACTGAAAATTCCACTGAGGCATTGAGCCATGAAAAACTGGTGGTTTTACACAATTCCTTGTAAACAGTATACCTATATATATACCCTTACTGTTTTTAGAGCAGATCCGTACTGGAAACCTAGAGAAACTCTGAGTTTTAATGAAGTGTGTGAATAACAGCATATATAAGATGGCTGAAGAATTTATTTTTCACAACAAATGGTCATACTTTTCTTTAGAATTATAAATTTTTATTTCTGTAATAGTAATAAAAATTACCAGAAAAGTGTAAATATCCCCTTTGCCATTGTCTGAGCATCCTGAGCCATTTACAATATAAACACCACCTGTTTATGGTGCAGAATTGGTGTGTGCCATGCTTATAGACAATACTGCCCTTTGTTGTAAACTGAGAAATTAATCTGTAAAATGCAAGATTTCTTGACAAACACTGCAGTAAAGATTAATCAGAGGCTGATATATAAAATATTTTTGTTCTATTTCTTATAAACTGTGAATAAGATAGTTATGAGAAGTTGTTAGAATCCTAAGTCTTAAAATATCGTGTCATAGATACACGAAATCACAGGAAAGTACGCTGTAAAGATTATGAAATGGAACATGTTTGCTTCAGGGAACACCAGGTGATTATGAAGAAAATCTAAGTAAATTCCTTCAAGTTGCCTCTTCTGTTATGAATTGTAGAGTAACTCTAATCACAGATTAGTGAACTACTGGCCCCCTCTCCCAGTGTCATTCGTAAAGTAGATACACCCGTCTTGCTTATCACATTTCTAGTAGTGATTGGCAGGGTTCTCCAAAAAGGTCTGAAGAAAAGTTTGTGTTAGTTACACAAATATATATGGGGAAAGGATTATTCTCCACACAAATGCATAGAAACTTGGTCTCTTAACCAGATTATATCTGGAGTGCTACTTAAAAGCCTAGGAAAGATTTATTTTGAGAAAAGGAATTTCTAGAAATATTTCTAGAAATTATTCTTCTTAAACAATAATTAATAGCAAAAAATTTGGAGGTCAGAATGCTATCAAGTAACTAAACATTATTAACTAAATAGCTATGATTTCGTAGGAAAAACAGTAGAGTAGGACTAATTTACTGTTACTAAACTAGTAAAAAGTTATCTAAATGAGTAACTTTCATCATCGTATTCTAGCTCATCTTCCTCATCATCCTCCAAAAGTCCATATTTAAATTTGTGATAAATTGTGCCATCCTTGCCCATGTATACAATGTCATCTTCATCATCATCATCTTCATAATCTCTATCTCTGTATTCAATCACTTGATCCTCATGGTAACTGGGATTCTTGTGGTAGTTGCTCACAGAGGAAGGAAAGGTTTTGGAGTGATTTGTCAGCTTCTCATATCGTCCTTTATTGACGGGCTGGGTTTTGGTTTGTGCCTTTCTCCAGATGAATACAATGGCTCCAATGACAAGCAGAAGCAAAATGCAAGTGATAACAAAGAAAATAGTTTTGCTTTTTTGCCCAGGGGGTAGCGTTGTCTGTAATACGCAGTCATCTACAACAGCAATTAAAAACAAAAGAACAACAAAAAAAAAGGGTGAAATGAGCTTGCAGTTGTCTGTGTGTGTCTTAAAAGTCTGGTACAGTGTGTCTGGTGCAGTAATAGCAGTCAACAAAACACCTATCTTTTCTGGTACCACAATGATATTTTTGTTGTTCTTATGCAGCAAAGATGTCAGTAAGGTTGTTGGGATATCTATTCTTCATTATTTGATTTGAAATAATGAGAAAGAAGCCAAAAAGCTAGCAGGCACACAAATGCAATGAGACTCAGATGTCTGTTAACTGAAGTAAGCTAATTCATAAACCAGTGAGTTTATGAAATGCTGGGCCATTTAACATAGTACTTGTGAGTTGTGAGAAGTTTCCATCTCCCGCACCAGCACCAGACATAATGGTTGTTATTTGAGTAAAACCTT